CAGCGAGTCCTCCCTTTCCTCTTACAAAGATGAAGCAACTGTGGTTGGCCTCCAACAACAAGAAAGGTGTCAGTAGTTCAGATACATACGTTGAGTTGATCTGAAGGCCTCTGTTGCATTTTGCTAGGCTAAATAGTAAATTTTAATTTGTAGTAATGCATTTGTGTCGGGGCAGGCTTTTACTGCAGCTGCAGAACGGATAGTGATGGTGAAGTCAACGAAGACGAACAGGGTTTTAGAAGCAATGCTCAGCTTCTGAAGGTTCACAGAGGGAGTGAAAAGCAACCTTCTGCTCCAGCCCTCACCTAGCACAAATGGTGGTGCAGACAGTAAGGGCAGAGTGCCACCTTCAAAGGAGGACTCTTCTGCAAGGCCACAGCCAAGAGCGCTGCTGAGCCTGGCAAGGACCAGCCTCAGCTAGAAGCTGTTTGCTTCTCTTATCTCTGTGGGGCATCGCACGCACTGCTATTGTTCATAAACCTGGAATTAACCTATTTGAACATTCTTCTGGCTGTTCTTTTTTTGCTCCCCTCAAAACTTCCCTAACCAAGAATCTTCTGCAAATAATAAGGAACAAAAGAAACCCCTCAAGTGTTGGCTTAATCTGGAAGTCTAGTGGCACTACTCTGGTAAACAAAGGAGTTTTGTCCTCCAAAATTACACTTTTTGGTTGAGATAATGTTTTGCATATTTCTCTGAGGCTCTTCACATGTTTAACATCTATTTGTTAACTTATCCTCACATTTCCCTGTGAGCTCCTCAAGTACATAGCATTCCTCTACAGATGAAGTCACTGAGTTTTAAAGAGATGAAGACCCAAATTTTCAAAAGCCTAAAAAAAATAATTCTGCGCTTTGTTCTTTCACTGTCTGGCTAAAGCGAAGCCCAAGCACCAGTCTCCATATGTTGAATCTGTATTAGCTGCAAATGCCAGGTGCTGATGGAAGTGAGCTCCCAGCGGCAGATAAACCTGTAATAGAGAATCAATCCATTGGAATTGCTTTTTCAAGGGAAAATGCCTTACTGGAAGTCTGTGGCCAGCCAATGTTTGAGTATGGCAAAGGCAGAAGAAAGGTTATTCAAGCACATTTTAGGCTTCTTGTGATATTCGAGACCACTCCAGCCCTATTCCTAAATAATAGTCTAACTAGAACGACTGGTCACAGCCCTGCTCTGATGTCTCCCATTCCTCTTCCAGATGATAAGATACCATGAGTAGTTCTTTGTTTACAAAGCACTATTGCTGAGGCAATTACATGTGAAATAAGTCTCCTGGTATTGCATATTTCCTGTAGTTTTTTAGCAGATATCTCCAAAACCATCTTCTGTCCTTCTACATAGTGAACAAATACGGCATTCAAGCCTTCCTTCACGCTACAGGTCCCTGTAAGCATTCATAAGTAAGGTGTAATTTTATGACCAATCAGCCACGCTCCTTGGTGTTGTCCTAATCGGGAATATTTGTATAATAGGTGTGATGATGGCCAAGCAGTTCCCTCGTGGCCTTTCCAACCGTGTGCTCTCTCACGCTGGCAAAAGAAGCTGCATTTGCAATAGCCTGAATCCCTTGATAAACTTGTAACACCAAGAGACATCAAAGATGTTCAGCCCCATTCATCAGCAAGTCTTAATTGATATCTTGAGCAAGGCTAGAGGACTGCTAAGATAAATCTAAACAGTGACCTATTCATCAGCTACACTCAAAGAACTTCCACGTATTTTACAGGAGGAATTTGTTTAAGGTATGCTCTTATCTAAGAGAATTCATAAAGCCTTAAGAGATGACATATATATTTTTAAAAGCTCCCTGATTTTATATGAACATTTGAGACACAGTAATCTGTGAATTTATTCAGATTTGTAGCTCAGCATAAAGCTGTCTGGTTTTTGGACAGCCCTTTTGATTTACCATCCTGTGGTGAAATCGCTGCAGGAATCTGGAGAAGGTCCAATTCTATTTGTTTAAAGTCCTGATCATGTGGCTTTGGCATTCCTAACATATCCAGCAATCATTTGCTTTTAATTACCATTCAGTTCAACCACATAAGTAATGAATGTGGCTACCACATCCAACTTAGAGGCTGTGTAAACTCTTGAGCTGGGTGGAACTTTCTTCTATATAGAGGCTTAACTATAAATTTAACTCCAAATGTGAATCCTCTTAACTTATTTTAGGCAGGCCTTTATAGGTTTCAAATAAAAATAAATAAAAAGGAAATGAAAAAAGCCTTAAATGAAAGATTCCACACAATACACCTGATTCACTTCAGGAGCAATTTCCTGGACTCCCCAACCTCTTGGTATGACTGTAGAAACCTTAAAAAAACAAGTTGATTTAATGTTTCTATTTATTCATGGTGTCCAGTTTCCAGAGGAGTCTGTGACTTGTAGTTTTAAACTCAATTTAGCATTTAAACTCATTTTCAGCTGGGTCCCAGTGGAGCAACAATTAGAAAAGGAAAAGAGTTCAAAGAAGAAGGGTTATAACCTTTCAGCAGTAAGTTTCCCTGGACTTTAAAAAACAACAAAAAAAAGGCATCTCTCTCACTATTCTTCCTACATTTGGCAAACACTAGGTCAGATGGCCAGCTTGAAAACCTGTTAGTACAGAGAACTTCGTGGTTAGGTACAAACCAATGAGTAGAAGTCTTTCACGGCAACTGAGGCAAAGGTTTATTTTTTAGGAGTACTGTTATTTGCATCATACTGAAAAGCCTACTATCAGCAGGCCCAGATTCTCTTGAGAAAAAAGAAATCTCACTTCAAATCTGAGTAAGAGGAACCTACCAACAAAGACAAAGAGAAGCTGTGCTGTTGCACACTTTAAACTTGTGTTAAACCTACACATCTTTTGCTGTTGAAGGCTCCAGCTGAGACTGGTGTCCTAGCAATCCACATTCTCATAGAATCATAAAATCATAGAATGGTTCAGGTTGGAAGGGACCTTAAAGATCAAGTTCCAACCCCCCTGCCATGGGCAGGGACACCTCCCACTAGAGCAGGTTGCTCAAAGCCCCATCCAGCCTGGTCTTGAACACCTCCAGGGATGGGGCATCCACAACTTCTCTGGACATTCCGTAAATATACATTGTGGGAGCCAAGCAGGCCATGGTTTCAGTGGGTTTCAATGAGGGTTTCAGTGCTCTCTCAGTTTATTTGGTTAACATGGCTCAAGAAATAGACCTCTTATGCAAGACTTAATCCCTTAAATTTGAGCATTATGTTTTAGAGGCATTATATTTTAGATGGAAAAAGCGATGCTACTGTAACGGAAGAGATAGGCAGGAAAATCTTATACCAGTGTATCCTAAAATTACAGCAGACCTGGACAAAAATCTTTTTATAAAGCTGGTTGACAGGACACCTGGTCATTCTGACTAATGAAATTACTACAAGGTGGAAGTGTAAGCATTTACTATGTTATCCATCAGCCCATAATAAGACAAATAGATTTGACCAGGTAGACCTGAAAAAACAATCGGCTAGGGTAAATTAAATCAAGATTTTGTTCCATGTGGTCAGAAGAAGATCTACCATATTTTCTAGAACAGATACAACATATAGCTGAGCTGGTGTCACATAATTTGTACCTACAGATACCTGGAAGGAAGAGATTTAGGAAAGAATCCTCACTCCCAAATAAGCAAATAGAAAGTCAATGTGCTTGTTTGACTTAAAGAAAAGTAAAATTGCTGAATCCAACATTTTGATGAGGAATGTGCTGTGGTTCAGCTGCTGCTGAAACTTTCCACTTTGGAAAGACATGTATTTAAAAAGAAAAAGCACATTTGTCCCTGGTCACTTGAAGAGAGCATAAGAATGACAGACAGAAATGGCAGCAGCATTCATACAGAGACACAGTTGACTGTGGATTAAAATTATCACTAGGCCAGACTATTAAAAAAATGAAAGGCAGATCGTGTTAGGACCTGAACCATTGAAATTTGATGTTCACAGGGAGATGCAACCCAGAGCAAATGGTTTTGAATGGACGGGGAGGCCAAGGCTTTCTCATCAAACCTCCCCCTTCCCCTGTTGTGTTTCTTGCTATTGCTGATAAGCTGTACCTGATTTTTGAATCGGTTGCGACAAGATGATTAAAAATGGTGATAACCCATTAGCTGGAGGTGATGCTGCGGCAGCGCCCAGCTGGAGCACACCGACAGCAGCAGCAGCCAGCAATGTGGTTCCAATCGCCGCCTGCCTTTGAAATGTCACCAGGAAAGATCTATAGACAGCCCTCCTGCTACGGGCCATCAGTGTCTAGCCTTCCTGTTTGATTTTTATTTAACTTACTATGGGGTTGATCAGTTCCCAATGAAGCTGAGGGCACTTTAAGGCCCCTTTGAAAACTGAATTATCAAATGGAATTAGAGCCCCATTCAAAATTCACCTGTTTTTCATTTCATTAATGTGTCTGCCTGCATCTGGATTCATGACCTGCACAGCCCATCAGTTTTTTTCCCTTCATGCTGCCCCTTTCATGTGTCTACGTTCCAATTTCCTCTTTTTCTCCTCAGGTTATGGATCACCCAGCCTCCATATGCTGATACAATTCGATTTGCTCTCTCCCTCGCACTCCCACAGCTACACTGATGCCCATTTCCCTTCTTTTTTCTCAGTCCCGTATCAAACTTTCTCTTTTTGCAGCTGCTAGCCTACAGCCGTGGTGCCAGCCAACCACTCCCACCTCTGCATACAAGTCTTTGATTCCATCTTCAGAGTGGCCTTTACTGACCTTAGTTCATCAGACTGCTTTTGGCACATTTGATGCAGTCACATAAACCACAGAAGAGTTACTATTCTCAAGAAATATGCTCTGTGACCTTTTTTTTTTTTTTTCCTCCAATTGGCTGCATCATCTGTGAAGGTGCGATCCACCTCTTATTTTAGAGCCACATCTACATTTTAGGTTACACTAGTGCACTGACTCAGAAGAGATAAATAACATGGCTGTGTCACTAGTCTTTTAAAAAGGGAGCATATGTACATGCACGTACCTTGGCATTTTGAAGAGGAGGTTGGTAACTAGAGGGCCGATAGTACCTCCTCTGAGTCGCATCGGTATGAATGTCCCCGAGAAATAGCTCCTCCACAAGGTGGTCTAAATTGTGGTGCAGGTACTGCTTCTCCACGCGGATCAGCTGGAGTTCATGCATGGCAAAATTCAGAGCTTTGGTGCATTCACAGCCATTGTCTTCTCTCAGCAAATCGTAGCTCACATCCTGCTCCCAGGGGCTGTCTTCTGGTATAAATCCAGGACACGTATGGTTCACCAGCTCACTTAATTTCTTGGCTACTGCTTCATTGTGACATATGATCTGTATGTTGCGTAGCTGATAATCAGCCTCAGTACCCCCTCGGATGATCCAGGATGCTTGGCGGAGACGTATTTTGCCACGTATAACTAATGTGTAGATAGGATTTGTGCAGCGATTGCCACCGTAATAAAATTGATAGGCCTTAAATGTATTATTGTGGTAGAACCTGTAAGATCTTGTGACGAACTCTGGGCCTGCTCTAACTTCGCAGCTGTGAGAAGACAAAAAGTGATGGAAACAAAATTTTAGCATGGTGGCATGTCATGTACACTACAGGTAACAAGACTGAGCAGTGCTCTAATTGGGACCTCAGAGGCACTTGAGTGCTAATGTCCCTGTGGCATGAATGGGAGTATACAGGAACTAGGCCTCTGTGGCCTGCCAATTAACCAACAATTTCCTCTGCTGTTATGCTCTTATTAATATAATACTTCATGGTGATCATATCCAACTAAGAGCTTTGTCTTTGTAGGTTTAAATACTTTGAGTTATATTTTGCTTTTCCCTTTTGTCTAGGCACCACCATGTGACTCAATTCTTCTCTGAGAAAAAAGGAGCTGCTTATTAAACATCTATTCTTCTCTTTTGCATGGTAGATTTAGCAAAAGGACTGGTAACGTCAGAAAGTGAAATGCCAAATGTCTACAGAACAGGACAAAGAACTGGCTTCTATGCTGCTATAGAAGCTTCTCAGTGGAGTTCCTCCAGCTCTGGTCTGCAGAGGATGTGCTAGATCATGTCCTCAGCTTTTCCACTCAAACTTTCAACAGGGCTGGCAGTTAACGCAAACTTCTCAATGTTAATGCAAAACTTCTATTTGGCTTGAATTTTGACTGTACAATATTCAGGTTTTGTGTTTTTTCTTTTTTTTTCTTTTTTCCCCCCCCTAGTTTATCTTTTTTTTTTCCCTTAAGGTGTAAATGGTAGTTAAATTCCACTTCCTGTAGAAAGTCCTTTTGTGCCTTTAAACTTGTCCCCCTCATCACATCCACAATGCTTAACACAAATACACTACTTTCTGTTAAAACACCCCAGTCTTTCCTACTACAAGTCACTTCAAATAAGCATGTGAATACTGCCTGCTGAGACACGGAAAGCAAAATAGCTCTCTGAATTACAAGTCATCATGTATGTAGAGCAACAGAACTGGTGAAACACAGCTTCTTGATTTCTTTTGCTAGTAAAACCTGTGCTAGACACATGCTTTGAAAACAAGGACCCATTCAATGTATCTAACGCATGTAATCAAAGATAATACAATGCTATGTTTGAATAAGCATCCACTTTGGCAACTTGGGCTCCTTCCGACTCAAAGAGAGATTTAAAGATATATCACAGCATGCTGTTTAAAATCCAGACTATAAATTGATTCATCAAGACAGCTTCATAGCATGCTATTCTAATGTACATAACTCCACTCCTCCTCCTTTTATGCATAAACATATCACAGAATCACAGAGTGATATGGGGTTGGAAGGGATCTCTGGAGATCATCTAGTCCAACCCCTTGCCAGAGCAGGTCCTATTCATGCCCCCCTCACAGCTAGAGTCACCCAAGGGGCAGGCTCTGAGTGCTCCAGCCTCAATGCCTTTGTAGAAAGCATCTGGAATTTAGAGCATCACTATACTAAAGAAAATATTTCCTCTGCTGCTTAAAGCAGAAATATTCATCCTTCCTTCTACGCTTCCTTCCCCTCTTCCACATTCATCACTCAAGCATCCTGTTCTATCTTTCCTTACCCAGTAGAGACCCAGTGTCCCTCAATATTGGGAGGCATCTGCACAGTGATCCGGGCTCCATTGTGAAGGTGTTTCAGCATATGATGACACTGTGACTCCTTGAATGCCCTCCATGCACTCTTCTCCAAGGACCGAGGGTGGGACCTGCTGTCTGGGTGAAGAAGAGCAGAACCTTCTCCCAGCCCTGTAACAGAAAAGCGTAAATTATCATGAGATCCTACTGAGGAGAACTTCAACACAATGAAGGAGGTTTTGACCATCTTGTGTTGAATGACACTTGTTTGCAATGTTATGTGCCTAGGAAAGTACTGTTTACATTTCTTTTCTCATCTGAAAAAAAAAAAAAAAAGAAGGAAAACATGGGAAGCTCTTCCTTTCTGTCAGCCCACTAATAATCCATTAAATAAATTTGTTTTACAAAATACACTTCAGAGAAGGGCTTGAACCAAAGTGTTGCGTTTCCACACCCAGGAGATATGCCTTTGAACCTGAATTTTATAGACACCTCTGTCATCTCTGGTTCAGGACAATCAAAAACCTTTTAGAAAGTTGCATCCAGATCCGGACATAAACTTTGTGGTTTCAGCCTACCTCTAATTTGAATGCTTCTATAATAAACTTGCAAATAAAGACTACTCTTTAAAGCCAAGGGAAAACAGATATTAAAAGCAAAGCCTCTGCACACAGGAAGCCTCTGTGATGACTGAGGTGGTCAATTAAAGGCAGATTCTGCTATTTTTATTTTAAAGGGGAAAAGGAATTTCAAAAGCTAATTTTATCTCCAGCACACAGTAATTTTGGTTTCTAGTAATGTACACATACAAAACCCACCAGCGCTCTCTCTACACAATATTAATTGAACAAAATGAATACGTAGCATCAGAAAGAATGCATCTTTACTGTTTTAGGCACAGCCTGCTCTTAGATATGTTGGAAAACACGGATCAAAAGAAAAACACACATCTAGAGGTTAAGAGGTGACAAACATGAACCTTACATAATGGGTTGGAAACTGTATTACTTTGCCAGAAGGAATTTAAGAACCAGCAGGCTAGAAAACGAATACGGGGTGGGGTGGAGGGGCTGGTTGCATGCCCGGGAAGTCGGGGCAGCATCTCAGGAGGGGGATGTCTCCCCAACACGTGCTCCCAGGGGCAGGGTCTGGGGTTCACCCCCATCTTTTCTGGTGCCCTCTTGGCTGTCCTGGCTCAGGAACAGGGCTGTTGGGGATCACCAGTGCGTGGTAGAACCCTACATCGCGCCAAGCCGCCTAATGCAGGATCCTACGCTTTATTCCCCAGGCCCCATCCAACCCTTCAGCAGCTTCTTGGGCAGCATGCAGCACCGATACAGAAATTCCAAGAAAATCAGCATTATTCATTTTTAGCTAGACACTGTTTCAAACCTTTGCCATTTCCCATTGCAAAAAAGAAAATAGTGTCAGTGATTCATCATGTTGGCTAGATCTTAGATCTTCCGGAAGAAACTTGGGTAACACCTGGGAAAAATGGCATTGCTAAAAATATAAATACATGTCAACTATTTAAAAATAGCAATTCCAAAGCTAAACAAAGGCAAGGACTTACCCAGTAGGCAGGGTGAAGAATGACCAGAAAGAATACAATAAATACTTGAATGTAAACAGTGCTCACCACTGAATGATCTCAAGATTTAATGAGATTAATGAATACAACCTCACAAAGTCTTTACTGGAAAATCTGGGAGCTTTGTTGCAGGTTACAAATAATCCTTCCACCTGAACGAGAATTTACGGCCTTACTTTCTAAAGGGTAATAAATGCTAGGGATGCTTTGATATTTGAGCATGCCGTCTGAGATGGAGCCTTAAAGGAGCCTGATTTTCAGAGGGTCAATATGTCTCCCTTTCTTGGAAGTCAAGGCTTCTCAGGTTTTTCTATGCTGGTGAACAGAGTCACTCACGTTAGAGCCAAACAACTCCCATTCTGCAGCCAGAAATGGTACAACTGCAGCAGGGTGACTCTCCCACTGAGCTGACTGCATCTTCAGGGAGGCAGGTTTTACCACCTAGTGCTTCACCTACACGGCCGTACAGCCTCCTGGGCTGAAGCCAACACCTCTGCACAGCAGCTCTGCGCTGTGCCATGTCTGCAGCCCTCCTCACCTGGAGCAGCACTTGACACCCTCAAAAACTTGGGCTTATTTATTTCATCTGAAACCTTCTGGGTATGGGGCGGATATCACAGGCTTTCACACTGCCAGGAGAACAAGTTCAGCCAGGTACAGGTAAGCTTACCAGTATATTTATTTTTGTTGTTATGAATCACAGCTAGTGACCGAGAACTTGCCTTCTAATGCCCTTCTCCATCTCCAAGTCTCCACACGCTCAAATAGCCCAAATTACTTCAGCACCTCATTCTGAAATGGAGAAAGCAGTCCTGTCCATGAGCTCAGAGCATCTTTTGTGTCAGAAGTGACACCTCCTACAAGGTACCTGGTAGAGGCTGTAGCCGTCAGTACTAACTTCCAACAGAAACATGTCTGTCAGGATGTCTCCTGCAGACAAATTCTCTCACACTGAAAAAGTCTTTGAAAAATTTACATTTCTACTTGAAGTTCTTAAGTGTTTGAAATCTGCTATCAAGAAGAGGTTTTGAAATGATTCAAGTGACTACTTCCAAGGCATATTTACTATACCATTTGCTTTTAAGAAGCTGTATTTTGCCTAGCTCATGTCTATGCTATGATTCATGAATACAGATGCACTTAAAAATGAATGATTTATTCATTTAAACATACTTGGGCATTTAATTTCTCCAAGCAAAAATCCTTCTGTGGGAGGATACTGTCTTGTATGTGCACATATCAAAGGAGAAAATGCAGCAACCACATTTTACGTTCCAAATTATTCCCTGGAGGAAATAATGTGAAAGAGAAGGAGGTTTTGAAAAGGCGTCAAACTTAATGTGGTATTATACAGTGGCTTTTCTTTGATATAGCTCAGAAGGAATGGGGTCCCAGCTCTCCCTGTCACATGTATGTAGTTCTGTCTGCAACTTGCAAACGATGAACTGTAGCCAGTGGACAGAAGGGAGATTTGCCTCGATAGCTCCAGAGATCTGTACCTGAAGAGAGGGTATTTGGTTGGGACAATGTCCATCCAACTGTGACAAACGAGGGCAGGAACAAGTTTAGGTAATCAAGCACGTAACACAGGCTGCAGAGACAGAGGAAGGGATGTAGAAAACATACACATGCTGTAGGCAACATAACATAAATAGGGCGTGAATATCAGAATATGAATTATGGTATAAAATTAAAAGGCAGTGATGGGACCTTTACCTATGTTTGTGTTCCTGGACAAGGAAATAATTTAGCACGAGCTCCTTCCTTACTGAGTAATGATTTCAATGCTTTTATATTTACTGACATAACGCCTGTATATATGAATACCATACAAAGGAGCCATAACTTCCCCTTGTACCATCTGAAGATCAAACACCAAGACCGGTGATATGCTTCCCACACAGGGCAGTAAACTGAACACTTTCCTCCTCTGCTTTTCCACACAGCAGGTGCTCAGCAGCCGCCCAGGGTCACCAACTCCACCCTTGGCAATGCACAACAAGGTGTTATGCAGAACCGAGGTCCTGCCAGTCTCTAATTTTAAAATATCCATTTGGCCTTGCTAGGTGGGACATCCCTGGAAGGATCACGGTTAAAAAGCACTTTCACAGAACTGGGAAAAGAATTTCCCGGCTCTTTAAAAGCCCACTTTGGAGCCGAGATGCAGTTGCAACATAGTTGGAGCCAAACTTTCATTCAAAGAGATCCAAGCTTGCTATTCTCTACAGCACAGACAGATGGTAGGTTTCAGTACCTCCATGACACATAAGTATCTCAGACTCTCTCTGACTGACTTAAAGTTTTGTCTGTTATGAAGGAATCTTACCCACTTGTTAAAGACAAATAATAATAAAAAAATCCACCATGTCATCACTCAAAAGTGTGACAGACTTCAAACAAAACACAATCTTTGCCAGAGAATAAAGGCAGTAATTCTATGAAGCCTCTGGTTGGCTTTCACTTCAGCTACAACAGAACCAGAGGTCCTAAGATTGTATCACCCAGCCCATGGTGGCTGTTTATGCAAAGGAGCAAGTCCAAAGGAAAAGGAACATTCCAGAATCCATAAGAAATGCCAGCTAGAAAACCAAAGCAAAATAAATGCCTTTTTCTGATGAGTTGATATGCAACTTCTCCTTCATAATCGAGCCCTAGCAGTGTAGATCACAGCTGTAGCATCAAACTAATTGAAAATTGTATAAGAGGCGCTACAGCTAGCTGGGATCCCTGCCCAGGCACCCACAGATCACACTTGATAGGGGCAGATGCCAAATCCATCTGAGTGAGAAAGTGGCAGTCAGCACAGCTGCCACTCCAGTGAGACACGGATAGGAGCACGCACTGCACCAGACAGAGGACTTCAGGCTCTCAGGTTCACCTATAAACCTCTATCTGCTGTGGGAACAACCATTCCAGATAAAAATAATTGTTATGGGGAGATAGGTTACTTTCAAGTTCTTCAAAGATTTCTGTGCATAGCTGGGAGTGAAATACAAATCTTAAAAGGGCAATCTGCTGGCAGCCCATTACCCAAACGTGTTCCAAAACCAGCTATGACAAAGCTCTCCAACAACATTTCTGCAAAAAAAACATGTGAGCTGCTAGAATAAGTGTTTTGGTTTTCTGAAAAATAGCATGCAAATAATGTACAGTTGCAACTGTAGATAATGATAAGTAGAGTTATGCTTGAACACAACTTTTTATAATTTAACTCGTGCCTAAACACCCTGGCCAAATTCTGTTCTCAGCTATGGCAGATTGCAAAAGTATAATGCAAATAATCTTAAATCTTAAACTGTTTAGATCTAATCAGTTTAATGAACACCTCTACCAGCATCTAAACCATGGCTTCAAACATGTCCAAGTGTACCGCTTCAAAGCTCCTAGGTGTTCAGCACCTTCACCCTTTGCTAAATGGGAGAGTAAGTGTTACCTGAAAGGAGGGTTCAAGCCTGGATTTAGATTGGGATTGCTCAGCAGGAACCACTTCACTTTTTCTTTCATTCATAGCAACGTAAATCCAGAAGAGCAGCGTTTTATTACAAATTAAAACAACCTTGAGTGATAGTACAAGTTCAAA